TTTTCCCATAGATTTCAATATTTTTGTCGCGAAAATAGTTTTAAAACGTTTTCCAAAAGTTAGACAAAAATATATTTAAAGGTTATTTCCTAATCGCATGATAATGAATACGCAATAATGATCATGGACATTTTTCTCGGACTATTAAAATGAGGCCAATTATAGACTATACGATTACGTCTATCATATATAAAGTATTGTGAAAACACATAACAATTCACATCAAAATTAAGCGAAATTTTGTTTTCGTTTTAAACGCTAATTTCCGTAAACTATTCCAACGTTTAGTTATTTTCCCAGAATATAGAGATAGAGGAAAGTTCTTACATATTATTTAATATACGGGTGAAAAATAGTTTTAATTTTCACATTAAATTCGATAATATTTTACGTAAAAACAAAAAATAACATTTCGTTGTTGTAATAATTGGTTTCACAACTTTTCATTTTTCTATTTTATAATAACAATAATTATTATTATTTTTAGTTTGAAAAAATATTTGAACGCAAATGTCATTTGAAAAGCGAGTTATGCTTTCAATTTAAACGACAGAATATCTCAATCGTATTTTTGCTAACAAAATATTGAACACAATTAACTGTTTAATACATTGCGTTAAATGTATTTGATTTTATCAAGATTTGCATCATTTGTTTCACAACTTATACGAAACAACAAACTAAATGAAAATCATTGGAGTGTAAAATGCATTTCTTAAATAACTATAGTTTGATAAATAAAACATACATTACATTACTGTACATAATGTTTAAAATATAATTTTTAAATTGTATTTGAATACCGATAAAAGTTTTTATAGTTATTATACATAATTTCATCACACAATGAGCTAAATGTGAGTTTTCCTAAATTCTGACACAACTAGATATTTATGAGTGAATTTGCGTTTGACTTTGAAAAATGATATTTTTAAAGTGAATTTTCCCATTTTCCCAATCTTATTATTACCACGATTTCCACAGTAAAACTACCTTTTGTTAACGTCTTTTGATTGTGTTTATTAGGCACTAATTATCATACAATTGAAATGTAATTACAATTTTGAATGTAAACCATTTCATGTGTTTATTAATTATATTCGTTATAAGTCTTATTTAAGTTAAAAATAGGCGAAAT